GGTGGGCAGGAACACCCCGAGGAGATGGGCACCCGTAAGATGAGGACCTCCTTGATGGCAGGAGGACCCCAGGGACATGGCCACCCACAAGATGGGGACCTCCTGGGTGGGCAGGAACACCCCAAGGAGATGGGCACCCACAAGATGGGGACCTCCTGGGTGGGCAGGAACACCCCGAGGAGATGGGCACCCACAAGATGAGGACCCAACTAGGGGTGCTCGGGAGAAGGGCACCCAGGTAGGGACACCCTGGATGGGGGCACCCAGATAAGGGGTTCCTGGGTGGGGGCACCCAGCTAGAGGCCCCCACATAAGGGCACCCATCGAGGGGCACCGAGATGGGGGTCCACCAGGTGAGGGCACCCAAATCAGGGTGTTGGGTTAGGGGTCACCTGAATGGGAGTACTCCCATGGGGCTTCTTGGATGGGACACCCAAATATGGGTGACTGGGTGGGGGTGTCAGCTCGGGGGTGCCTTTTCCACCGCATCACAGCACCGCGCTCTCCACGGCGGCCCACGGATGACGCGGCTCTCTCCAATCCCACAGATGGAAGTGGAGAAACCACCGTTGGGACCTGAGCCACCAACTCTACTGAAGACCTACAAATGGCGAACGGCAGCACCCATGGGTGACCGGGAACACGAGAAGGACACCGCGTCCCCGGGCAGCCGGCGCTGGACACGGTTGCAAGGATGGAAACGTTCCTACAGCCCTGGTGCTGGATGAGGGGTGATGGGTGATGGGTGATGATGATGGGTGATGGCTGAGGGGTAGTGGGTGATGATGATGGGTGATGGATGAGGGGTGATGGGTGAAGATGATGGGTGATGGATTGGGGGGGGTGGGTGAAGATGACTGGTGCTGGATGAGGGGTGATGGGTGATGGGTGATGATGATGGGTGATGGCTGAGGGGTAGTGGGTGATGATGATGGGTGATGGATGAGGGGTGATGGGTGAAGATGATGGGTGATGGATTGGGGGGGGTGGGTGAAGATGACTGGTGCTGGATGAGGGGTGATGGGTGATGGGTGATGATGATGGGTGATGGCTGAGGGGTAGTGGGTGATGATGATGGGTGATGGATGAGGGGTGATGGGTGAAGATGATGGGTGATGGATTGGGGGGGGTGGGTGAAGATGACTGGTGCTGGATGAGGGGTGATGGGTGATGGGTGATGATGATGGGTGATGGCTGAGGGGTAGTGGGTGATGATGATGGGTGATGGATGAGGGGTGATGGGTGAAGATGATGGGTGATGGATTGGGGGGGGTGGGTGAAGATGACTGGTGCTGGATGAGGGGTGATGGGTGATGGGTGATGATGATGGGTGATGGCTGAGGGGTAGTGGGTGATGATGATGGGTGATGGATGAGGGGTGATGGGTGAAGATGATGGGTGATGGATTGGGGGGGGTGGGTGAAGATGACTGGTGCTGGATGAGGGGTGATGGGGGATGGGGGATTGGCTGAGGGGTAGTGGGTGATGATGATGGGTGATGGATTACGGGTGATGGGTGATGGATTGGGGGTGGTGGGTGATGATGGGTGATGGATTGGGGGTGGTGGGTGATGATGAGGGGTGATGAGTTGGGGAGTGGTGGATGGTGGGTGGTAATGATGGGTGATGGGTGGGGGGCAACAGAAATGGGAGATGATCTGGGATGCAATGGGTGATGGGCGGTGGGTTGGGGGCAACGGATTAGTGTTGATGGGTGGTGGTGGTGGGTGATGGCTTTGGGGGCAATGGGTGACGGTGACCACTGGGGCCTTGGAGGCAGTGGGTGATGGTGGGGGACATAGAGGGGTGCAGGATGTGACCAGGCTTTGCTAGTGTTTGGGACCTCCTGCCCCATAGGTACCCTCCAGGGTTGGGGGTGGGGGCACCCATGGGTGCAGGATGGCTGGGTCCCACCTGGCCCCAGGGCCCGCTCCCCCGGTCCCCGTGTGTGCCTGGCACGGGCCTCGGTGACGGCACTTGGAGCCGTGCCAGCACTCCCGGCACCCGTATCTGGCAAAACCGGCTTGGCACCGGCAGGGCCACCCACGGTGACGGCAGGGCCCGGGGGCAGGGCAGCCACCCGGCTTTGTCCCCACCACGGCGTGGCCATGGCCGAGCGTAGTACGGCATTGCCACGGGGATGGTGGCACAACCACACATCCCCCAGCGTTGCCACCCCAATTGTTGCATGGCTGTGACCACATGACCCCTGGCATCACCACACTCATGGTGGCAGCTCCACGGCCACATGTCCCTCAGCATCACCACACTCACGGTGGCATCTCCACGGCCACATGTCCCTCAGCATCACCACACCCATGATGGCATGGCCATGGCCATATGTCCCCTGGTATCACCACACTCATGGTGGCATCTCCATGGCCACATGTCCCTCAGCATCACCACACTCATGGTGGCATCTCCACGGCCACATGTCCCTCAGCATCACCACACCCATAGTGGCATCTCCACAGCCACATGGCCCCCAGCCTCACACACCCGGCCACATGTCCCTCAGCATCACCACACTCATGGTGGCATCTCCACGGCCACATGTCCCTCAGCATCACCACACCCATAGTGGCATCTCCACAGCCACATGTCCCCCAGCATCACCGCCCCCGTGGTGGCATCTCCATGGCCATATGTCCCCTGGTGTCACCACACTCATGGCGGCATCTCCACGGCCACATGTCCCCCAGCATCACCGCACCCATGGTGGCATCTCCATGGCCATATGTCCCCTGGTGTCACCACACTCATGGCGGCATCTCCACGGCCACATGTCCCTCAGCATCGCTGCACCCATGGTGGCATGGCCACAACCGTCTGTCCTCTGACACTGCCACATCCATGGTGGCACCACCACAGCCACATATCCCCCAGCATCACCGCACCCATGGTGGCACGGCCAGGCCATACGTCCCCTGGCGCCATCACCCCAACCGTACCATGGCCATGGCCCCGTGTGCATTGTCACACCTACAGTGGCACGGCCTACGTGTCCTCTGGCACTGCCACGCTGCCCGTGGGTGACGGGGACACGGTGAGCACCCAGTTTCCCCCTGACCCCTTGCTCCGCACCCCCAGGGAGCACCCATGGGACGTCATCGATCCCGTTGGCTCCAGCGCCCGACGCTCTGGTGTGGGACGTCTCCAACTTCTCCTTGGTGGACGGCCATCTAGTCCTGGTGGGCAGGGACGAGGAGGTGAGGACACGGGGACGAGAGGGCAGCCGGGGGCCTTGTGCCGGGGTCCCTCGGGTGCCGGGGTGCCGAGATGGGTGCTGGGGACGGTGACACCTCACCCCTCTGTGTCACCAGGCTTCGTGCAGGAGCAGGAACCGGACAGGGAGCTCCATCTCCGACAGCGCCAACCTCCACGCGCCAGGCGGGAGGAGAGACCCCGGTGAGCACGCTCGAGCTGCGCCGGCGCGCTCTGATGCCGCGGTGTGTTGGCACGTGCCGGTGCGTGCAGGTGCGGCGCAGCTCCGTGCCACGTGCGGGCCACGTGCCATACCGTGCACCGCGCCGCGTAGCGTGTGGTCGCGCATCCTGCACCGCGCGCTGCGCCGTGCGTCGTAGCCATGCCCTAATGCCAGGCGCCGAGCGCTCTGCGCCGCTCACCCTGCACCACGCCTTGTGCCATGCGTCGTGCCGTGCAACACGTGGTCATGTGCTGTGCCCTCTGCCATACGCCGTGGCCATTCCCTGTGCCGCGCACCGGATGACCGTGCGACCGTGCGACCATGCACTGTGCCACGCGTTGTGCACCATGGCCGTACCTTGTGCCATGCGCCATATGACCATGCACCATGGCCGTACCTTGTGCCATGCGCCGTATGACCATGCACCATGCACCGTACCTTGTGCCATGCGCCATATGACCATGCACCATGGCTGTACCTTGTGCCATGCGCTGTATGACCATGCACCATGGCCGTACCTTGTGCCATGCAACGTATGACCATGCACCATGCACCGTACCTTGTGCCATGCGCCATATGACCATGCACCAAGGCTGTACCTTGTGCCATGCGCTGTATGACCATGCACCATGGCCGTACCTTGTGCCATGCAACGTATGACCATGCACCATGCACCGTACCTTGTGCCATGCGCCATATGACCATGCACCAAGGCTGTACCTTGTGCCATGCGCTGTATGACCATGCACCATGGCCGTACCTTGTGCCATGCAACGTATGACCATGCACCATGCACCGTACCTTGTGCCATGCGCCATATGACCATGCACCATGGCTGTACCTTGTGCCATGCGCTGTATGACCATGCACCATGGCCGTACCTTGTGCCATGCAACGTATGACCATGCACCATGCACCGTACCTTGTGCCATGCGCCATATGACCATGCACCATGGCTGTACCTTGTGCCATGCGCTGTATGACCATGCACCATGGCCGTACCTTGTGCCATGCAACGTATGACCATGCACCATGCACCGTACCTTGTGCCATGCGCCATATGACCATGCACCATGGCCATACCTTGTGCCATGCGCCGTACGACCATGCACCATGCACCGTACCTTGTGCCATGCGCCATATGACCATGCACCATGGCCGTACCTTGTGCCATGCGCCATACAACCATGCACCATGGCCGTACCTTGTGCCGTGCGCCGTATGACCATGCACCATGCACCATGCCCTGTGCCGTGCACCATGGCCATACCTTGTGCTGTGCACCATGGGACCATGCAGCATGCACTGTGCCATGCACCGGGCACCGTGGCCGTACCTTTTGCCGTGCAGCGTATGACCGTGCACTATATGACCGTGTACCGTGCCCTGTGCCGTGCATCATCGCGGTCCCTTGTGCTGTGCACCGTATGACCATGCATCATGCACCGTGCCATGCACCACGCCATGCCGCATGCCCTGTGTGCCACACCATGCACCGTGCATCGTGCCATGCCCCGTGCCGTGCCCCATGCCATGCCCCATGCCCCACGCCATGCCGCATGCCTTGAACCACGCCATGCTGCATGCACTGTGCGCCACGCCATGCACCATGCCATGCGCCACGCTGTGCCGCATGCCTTCACCCACAGCATGCCGCATGCGCTGTGCGCCACACCATGCACCGTGCATCATGCCATGCCCTACACCATGCCACATGCCTTGAACCATGCCATGCTGCATGCCCTGCGCGCCACACCATGCACCATGCATCCCTCCATGCCCCACACCATGCCCCATGCACCACACCATGCCGCATGCCTTGACCCACACCATGCCGCATGCGCTGTGCGCCACACCATGCACCGTGCATCCCTCCATGCCCCACGCCATGCCCCATGCACCACACCATGCCGCATGCCTTGACCCACACCATGCCGCATGCGCTGTGCACCACACCATGCACCGTGCATCACTCCATGCTCCATGCCATGCCCCATGCCCCACGCCATGCCGCATGCGCTGTGTGCCACACCATGCACCGTGCATCATGCTGTGCCCCACACCATGCCCCACGTACCACGCCATGCCACATGCCTTGAACCACACCATGCACCGTGCATCATGCCATGCCCCACACCATGCCACATGCCTTGAACCACGCCATGCTGCATGCGCTGTGCGCCACACCATGCACCGTGCATCACTCCATGCCCCACACCATGCCCCACGCACCATGCACCGTGCATCATGCTGTGCCCCACACCATGCCCCACGTACCACGCCATGCCACATGCCTTGAACCACACCATGCACCGTGCATCATGCCATGCCCCACACCATGCCACATGCCTTGAACCACGCCATGCTGCATGCGCTGTGCGCCACACCATGCACCGTGCATCACTCCATGCCCCACACCATGCCCCACGCCATGCCCCGCGCCGTGCCCCACACCGAGCCGGGCACGTGGAGGAAGCGTTGGGTGCAAGGCTGCTTCGTACCGTCACCACTTCCTCCACCCTGCTGCGTCTGCTGATCCCAGCGATAAACGCTTTCGGCTTCCTCCC